GTACATTTTCAGAGCCAATTTGGTACTTTTTACACCACAAATGTAGTGACTAGCAGCTAGTAATAAACCATGACGTATTATCATTATAGGTTAACAGCAGCAGTATAGCAAGTAATAATAATAATAATTCATTTATTTTATATAGGCGCCTTTCAAGGCTCTCAAGGTCGCCGGACAAACACATAAAAAACAAGATACACAATACATAACACCAGCATAAGAGACATAAACAAGACAATGCAGTATATAAATCAATCAAATAATCAAACAGAGGATGTGTGATGGATAATGATCAGGGTGGATATGCGAGTGTGAAGAGATGTGTTTTGAGGCGTGATTTGAAAATGGGGAGAGAGTCAGTGTTGCGGATGTCAGGTGGGAGGGAGTTCCAGAGGAGGGGTGCAGAGCGGCTGAAGGCTCTAGACCCCATGGTGGTTAAACGGAAGGGGGGTGCAGTGAGGCTGAGGGAAGCAGAAGATCTGATGGGTGTGTTGATGTGCAGGAGGTCGGAGAGGTACAGAGGAGTGAGGTTATGGATGGCCTTAAAGGCGAGGAGCAGAATCTTAAAAACGATACAGGATTTGTCGGGGAGCCAGGGAAGCTGCTGAAGAACAGGAGTGATGTGGTTAATGGAGGGGGTTCTGGTGATGCCAGGGAAGCTGCTGAAGAACAGGAGTGATGTGGTTAATGGAGGGGGTTCTGGTGATGCCAGGGAAGCTGCTGAAGAACAGGAGTGATGTGGTTAATGGAGGGGGTTCTGGTGATGCCAGGGAAGCTGCTGAAGAACAGGAGTGATGTGGTTAATGGAGGGGGTTCTGGTGATGCCAGGGAAGCTGCTGAAGAACAGGAGTGATGTGGTTAATGGAAGGGGTTCTGGTGATGCCAGGGAAGCTGCTGAAGAACAGGAGTGATGTGGTTAATGGAGGGGGTTCTGGGGATGCCAGTGAAGCTGCTGAAGAACAGGAGTGATGTGGTTAATGGAGGGGGTTCTGGGGATGCCAGGGAAGCTGCTGAAGAACAGGAGTGATGTGGTTAATGGAGGGGGTTCTGGTGTGATGCCAGTGAAGCTGCTGAAGAACAGGAGTGATGTGGTTAATGGAGGAGGTTCTGGTGATGCCAGGGAAGCTGCTGAAGAACAGGAGTGATGTGGTTAATGGAGGGGGTTCTGGTGATGCCAGGGAAGCTGCTGAAGAACAGGAGTGATGTGGTTAATGGAGGGGGTTCTGGTGATGCCAGGGAAGCTGCTGAAGAACAGGAGTGATGTGGTTAATGGAGGGGGGTTCTGGTGATGCCAGTGAAGCTGCTGAAGAACAGGAGTGATGTGGTTAATGGAGGGGGTTCTGGTGATGCCAGTGAAGCTGCTGAAGAACAGGAGTGATGTGGTTAATGGAGGGGGTTCTGGTGATGCCAGTGAAGCTGCTGAAGAACAGGAGTGATGTGGTTAATGGAGGGGGTTCTGGTGACGATGCGGGCGGCAGAGTTCTGAACCAGTTGAAGTCTGTGGATGGATTTGAGAGGGAGACCAAAGAGAAGGGAGTTGCAGTAGTCGATGCGGGAAGTGACCAGGGTGTGAACAAGAATGGCGGTGGTCTTAGGGTTAAGGGACGGCCGGAGGCGGTTGATGTTGCGTAGATGGAAATAGGCAGACCGAGTGATATTACTGATGTGAGATTTGAATGAAAGTGTGCCGTCGAGGATGACACCCAGACTCTTAAGTAATCGAAATGATCCCCACCTTTACCTTTAAGTGCTAACTTGATATAATGAATTGTGATATTTTTTAATCTGATATGGGCCAGACTGGAAAACGAGTACTTTTGGTACTTTCCGTATAGTTTGATACTAATACTTTTGTTCTTTTATAAGTACAACTTGAATGCAGGACTTTTACTTGTAACAGAGTATTCCTACACTCTTGTGCTTCCACTTCTACTTCAGAATAAGAACTGAGTGCTTCTTCCACCTTTGCTTCCACTTGAGTAAATGAGCTTTGTTACACTTCACCTATAAAACACTCAAAAGCTGCACTAAGGTGAATTACCTGGTGTTAGGCAGATCTTTGTAGTACAGTATTTGATCCGACATATATATATATATAATATTGACTTCTTCTGCATTACTTGCACACTTGTCTTGCACCTTCTTGGACTATTTGTATTTGTTTTATGTCTTAATATATTTGTTGGAGGAGCCTGGGACTTCAGATGTCAATGTATTATACACTGTAGCTGCTGTTTATATGACAATAAAGCTTTGAATCTTGAATGTCCATCCCACCTGCAGCACCACAAACAGCAGCCAGACAACATCAACATTTTGTTTGTTTCTATTTCTATAAGTTGTTAACTGTTTATTTGTATTTATCTATACTGTATTTGCACTATTCATAGTTATTGACCGAAAACAAGTGCCTTAAATGTTGTAAATTGTAAATGATTGATACAAGAAAACATCACAGGTTGAAGATGAATATATATTTTCATTATTAGCATATATTTACCTGCGAGGGTGGCTCCTCATCTGCACTTTATCCTTATTCTCCATAATGTTGTCCTCTTCTGGACCCCCTTTCTCTGTAGAACTTGACGTGAACAACTCGATGCTAATTGACGCTAACTGATGCTACTAATACCTTCAAACTACCGTGTGGTCTGTTAGCTCGCTAAGCTAAGCTAACTGTTAGCAGCGCTGTTACAGCAGCTCCTGCCGCCCGTTAGCCGCTGAAAACACACCGTTCGGTATTCATTCTGTAACACGGGTTTCACAGACGGTACAGGCTCCTCTCCGGTGTTGTTTCCCCGCCTCTGAGCTCATCCTCCTCCGGTGTCTCGGTAACTTTGGACTTGTTTCGCAAACCACTCGGAAGACGTTTGAAAATAAACCAGGAAGTGATCGTGAGGAGGCGGGCAGACAAAGGGTGCAGTTCCGAGGAGAGGCCGCTGGGGGGCGACAAACTGACACAATGCAAAGACTCAGAGCAACAATGTCATAATATAGAGTCTATGGTCATCGCACACTTCATTTTAAAAGTCAATTCATTTTCCTGATCTTTCTTCATTAAATTGAAATAGTGTTGTATCCTTAGTTCCATCCATCAGTTAAGTTGATTTATATAGCCCAATATCACACATGTTATGTTGGTCTCAGTGGACTTTCAAAGGTGTTGGGGGGGGGGGTGGGGGATTTCAGGTTTTTTTTCTGGTTTTAAAAAACCCCTCCATTCTAACAACAAAACGGTTATCTCGTTTGGGAAATCCAGCTATGACTAGAAGGTGGTGGGTTAAATCCCAGCCATGCCGTTATCATGTTGATTTAACCTAGTGTGAATTGTGCTGCTTGTTAAATGTGCGTGTGAGGTGGGATGCTAGTGGAGAAGAGCTAATAAACAATTATACCTGGCTCTTCAGGGCTCTGGAGTGAAGTGTACTTCTTGCGCCAAATCCATCAATCAAAGTCAATCGAAGTATATTCAATTAGCCCAATATCACACATTTTACATTTGTCTCAGGGGGATTTACAGTTTATACAGAATATGAATACGCCGGAAATCCCCAGTGCTGTAAGCTTTTAAAAATATGTATTGAAGAGAGAAGAGTCACTGTGTTTCTCCTCGCACTTTGTACAACTTGACACAAAGCTTCCAAATAAAAGGGGGACTGGTCAGAGGAAGGGAAATAAAATATTATTGCAACTCAAAGATATTGTTAGAGACACATGCACAAAACGTTCAGAGCAATTCAAAGTACATTTGTTATACATATTGTCGTATCCACAGAATACAAGGAAACCAAGCAGAGCAACTTGTGTGAAACACGCACAGACACAGAAATACAAATATATTAATGTAAGTGAAAATAAATGTAGAAATACATTTGAGATATCTAATGTGTGTTGTTTTATTCTCAACTTTAATTTTTTTATTTAATTATTCCTGTATTTATTTATTTTTCTTGAATTTTTTGTATTCCTGTATTTATTTATGTGTTACTTATGTCATGTTCTGTCCCCCGTGTGCTCGCTGTGTGCAACAAGGTACACATTCACCTCATCACAGCAAGACCTATAGATGGGCGTTCATGATTTAAAAACACATTGGTGGTCCAGAGGTTAATGCATTGTTTTTTCATGCAGGTGCTCGAGGTTAATAATAATAAATTATATTTATATCGCGCTTTTCTGGAACTCAAAGACGCTTAAATCTGGAGAAATTGTCCCAACCACTTTTTCTAACAAAGTGGTGTTTATTGTAAACGGGTTGCTATCTCTTCTCTGTAAGCTGTTCTGATCGGATAATACTTTAAGTGTGAATCTATAGATAGATAGGATGGGAGGGATGAACCTCTTTAATGGTCACACATGCAGAGCACACAGCGAAATGTGTTCTCTGCTTTTAACCCATCCAGTGCCAGGAGTAGTACTAGGAGCAGCTATTGTACAGGGCCCGGAGTGAGGGGGTTGTCCGGTGTCTTGCTCAAGGGCACCACGGCAGGGCAGGAGGTGAACTGGCACCTCTCCAAGTAGAAGTCCACACTCCATATTTAGGTCTGGTCGGGGACTTGAACCGGCGACCCTACAGCTCCCAGTCCAAGCCCCCACTGCCTGAATCTGCTTCATGGTTTCCACTTTCTTTGCTTCATTTGGTCTGTGTTCTAAATCAGCAGGTGAACCTATATGTTCATAACATAGTGTGTGTGAGCTCAACTGTGTGTGTTCAACTAAAAAGGAGCATTTTCTGTCATCTCAGATTTTATTCCTGCTTTTTTAAACTGCCTTTCGAAATTCTAAAACCTAACTTTACCTTGTTCTTTAACTTCTGTAATATGTAGGCACTGAAACAGCAGCCAGACGAATATATCACAACCTGTATCAAGTCTGAATTTGCTAAGATCAAATATGAAGTGGCACAGTATCTCGACAGGTTTATAAATGAATTAACTGAGCTAATGATGAAGCTACCACGAGTCACATGGCAGGCTAACAGCAGAATCAGGAGAACTGTGAATCGGACATATTGTGTTTTATTAAATTTGTTCACAAAATGCTGTATGATAAAAAACATACAACTCTAAATATTTACAAACAATGCCAAAAGACATAATACTCTTGCCATCAATGTTGGTACAGCATCCATTATGTTGAAACGACATGAAAACAGCAACAACAACAACCTTTCTACATATATTAATCACTTCTAGCATCCCAAGAGTGAGTCACTTTTCACTCTGATGTCCTCACTTTGATTTGAGATGCTCATCATAAATCTACACACATGCTAAACTGATTTATACAACAAGACAATGTTCACTTAACATTTTTCAACATGAACCCCTCATCTCATTTCTGAACAAGCCGTCTGAATATCCTCCATATTCAATTTTTAAGATACGGAGGCTCCACCTGAGTCATTGTACTGTTCACAACTTTAAAAACTGTTCAATTCCACACATTATGTAAAAACCATGTCTTCTCAGAGATAGCTAAAGTATGTAGCCGTGATTTTTCCACTTTCCATTCATTGTTCTTTTTTAAGAGACAGAACAACGAAATGTGATTCATGACTTGTTTTTTAAAGCCTTTGGTGTTTGTGAGATTAATTATAAAAGCACCATTCTCTCTCTCAAATTACGGATAGAGCTATATATTATCAGTGTTTTGATTGTTCGGGACAGAAAATTGAGTACACACGACATTACAACATTAAACAGTACAGGGGAAAACAACAACAACAGCATCAGTGTGTGCATGTTGGTTTTAAGACGTCTCAGGACAGAATAAGAGCCCGGTTGGTGGAGTGGGATTTTAACGAGCGGAGGTAACATCTCGCTTTCTCCGTCATGAAGAGCTGGTCTTTAGTTTTCCCACAAACCACCGTCTCCCATTCTTTAGACATCTGGAACGAGAGGGGAAGAGCTGTGTTAAAATGGCTTCTATTAATAAACACATTCATTAAAACAGAGGCCTGAACTACGAAGCAGGATTTTCTCTTAGCGGCTAACTTCAGGGTAAACTCGGGGTTTCTGGTCCTACGACGCTGGTTCTCTTTTTAGCGGGCTAGATCTCCATGGTGACTTATCCTGGAACCTAGTCTGTGCTCCGAAGCAGGATATGTTCCAGGATAAGAGATCAACTCAGTGAAAGCACCGCCTGCTGACCAATCAGAGCTCAGTGTGCGGAGTTTAAAGCGATCAAGTCATATTACAGGAGAAAGGAAATACAGAAAAGCTGCCGTCGCAGGAAAGACGGCCGGCAAAAATCACCGACTGTGTGAACGTGAACATGAATAGAATATCACCTCCATCTTCAGAGCAATCTGACTATTATAACATTAGCGTTAAGAAAGCTTACTTAAATATCTGCCACAACATAAGTAACCGAATCAAAGTAACATTAAGTACAGTCCGCCGCTCTGTGAGTGCAGACGTCAATGTGTCCCATTATCATTCATATCATATCACATCATAATGTATCATATATCTCCTGAGTCAGCTGAGCCGTATCTGGCCGTGCAACACTCAGCGTCACATACTGTATGCAGAAGTATTATTTTAAGCAACACATTAAGTTGACGAAACACTCGAGTCAAATGTAATTAAAGTCAGATGGTGTTTTAGACGGGGCAGTGATATCATAAACCTGTTAATGTACGCATTCAAACACTTTTTATTTAACCAGCTGTATTCACCTTGCAGGTGCAGCTCTGTGGCTTTGATCCTGGATCAAGTGTTTAAGTCCTGGATGTTTAAAGTTTAACTTCTTCATATGTCTAATATTATAGTTGACTTTTCATTCAGGAAGTATGACGCTGCGCTGTCAGTACGCTTCTCCATGTTTGTGATTGGTCAAATGTTGCTAGCCCCGCCCCTTTTATGTGAACGTGCACATAACTAGATAGGGCAAAACTGGCTTGAGTTAACGAGTTGATAACAGCGTCGTAGGACCGCTTAGCGAGAGCGCGTTTTGGATTAGGTAAGCCGGGTAACTCAAACATATCCAGGTTATGTTGAACCGGCTTCGTCGTACAGACCTCTGGTATCCCAAAAACAAACATATGTTGTTCCTCTTTCCTTCTGCTATTTATTATTCTACATTGCTTTGGTGTGAGTCGCTGAGTTTTGGAGGTTTTCTGCCAGTCTCTCTAACGGTTCGTCCACACGGCAGCGTCGCATTATAGCTTGCCGGTGGGCGTGTCTGGAGCGCGACCAACAACCAATCACATCCCGCCCCGGACACACAAGCATGCGGTTTGATTGGCTGGAGCTTGTACTGGCAGATGATTTGATTGGCTGGAGCTTGTACTGGCAGATGATTTGATTGGCTGACGCTTCCGTCAACTTTCGAAGCGAGCAACGGAACCACAATGCAGTTCGGCAAAGCGTGACGTCACCCCGTTCAAAGTGAAGGGGAAGCGTCTCCGTTGAAGCACGCGACGCTGCCGTGCGGACGGGCCGTAACACCATTGCTCTAATAAATAATAATAATAAGAACTTTATTGATCCCAATTTGGGAAATGTTTGCATTGCAGCAGCAAAAAGACATGGCATGGTACATTAGAGAAACTAAAAGACTACAAATAAACAATCCAAAGTGTAAACATCTCAAATAGAAATAGCATTATTTAAAAATCCCAACAGCAATGGGTTTTCCCCCAGAGACCATAACCCAGATCACACGAAGAACCATGCTGATGCCTTTATTCGAGGCAGGTAGAGCCTTGTCAAAAAGCAGATGTCTGATTGTTAGAAAGAGAGAAAGTAAAACATGGACCTCCTGTCCTCTTATCTCGTGACTAATGCGTTAACTGGCAGCCGTTTGATTTACGTTGTTTGTTTGATTTGGTTTCATTGTTAAAGGCATGGAGAGGACACAATAATAATAATTAAAAAATGTAACCCAAACGATAAACCAAATTAAAAAGATAGGTCTTTAATTTACTTTTAAAAATTCCAATTGAGGTTGCCTTTCTAAGATCAGATGTGATTTCTTGTAATGCACTCTTGGTACTTCTAAAAGTGAAACATTGGAGGATCTGAGTGTCCTTGCTGGTTGATAACATGAGAGACAGCCACTTAAATATGCTGGGGCAAGGTTATGTAAAGCCTTGTTAATCATTAAAAGCTCTTTAAAATCAATTCCGAAAGAAGACTAACGGATATCATTCCGTCACTTTTTCGTGGACAGATGACCTTTCATGAAATCAGTCACTTACTGGAGCTGGAGGCACGTTGCTGGGGAATATGTCGCTGTCACTGGGTCCCATCAAGAAGCCCTGATCCAAAATACTGTCATGCTGCTTGCTGCAGAACGACGAGGAGCTGAGAGAAACTATCATGGGTTCTTCCTGTGGGCGGAAGAGGAGGAAAAGAATTAGGTTGAGTCAAATCTACAAACAAGACTTTAAAGGTCCCCTATTGTCTCATCAATATATTACAGGTCTCAGATATATACAGAGCCTGTCTCTCATTGGCTGAAACACCAAACAGATCATCGCAGCATTACCCATAATCCCCTCTGTTTCAGCCCTGTTTCCAAAGTGCTGATTCTCTGGGTGTTTCTCAATGTCGAGGAAAGCTGCTCCAGAGCCACTATTTCAAGCATACTAACTACGTCATCGAGTGCCGCCGAAGGACTGTTCCAATGTCCAGCATACTTTGAATTCTACCGAGCCCAGTGTACTTCGTAGCGAGACATTTCGAGGCTGCACATGTGTAGACTCCGGTCTTAAAATCCCCACAATGCTTTGCGCACGGACCAATTTCCCCAAATCTGTGGTGGAAAATGTAAGGAGGGGCCTCTCATATGACGCACACCTGCACACTTGCTCGCCTGTTCCACTCTTCGTTTTCCGAAATGCCAGGAAGTGTTCTTGCCTAGCTTCTGAAGCAAGAGGCTCGGTAGACATGTGCTACCAAGCAAGCGTACTCGACATTGAGAAACATCCTATGTCTGTTACTTTAGATGAACATAAGGAGCCCCTCTGAGAGAGATTTGGTTAAAAAGAACTCAATAGCCGCTTTCACACCAAGTACTTTGCCGTACTTTGTCCCGCCAAACTCTTTAGTTCCTGGAACTGTCCTAGCAGATCGCGTTCACACTGGAATAAGTTCCCTGGGGGTGGATTAGGCAAATGAAGCCGCTGACATCACTTCTTCTTCTTCTGCTTTGGGTTTAGTGGCAGGCCGCAAAAAACTTCACGGCGTATACTGCCAACCGAAGTCCCGGCTAAATCGCCAGAACGCCGACGCCTCCTCATCTCCACCGCTCCCATGTTTTCTTTTGTGTTTCCATAAGTTAGTCTCTCTCCGTTGGTGCGCTGGGCTAATGCTAATAATGCTAATGCAAGCAAAGAAAATGGCGGCTTCACAAAACTTTTCTGAGTTTTACGGGGCGTGGTTTGCAATCCGCCCAGCCAATCAGACATTGGAACCTTTTCCTCCCCAGGAAAGCACCACCTCTCTAGCAGGGACTGAAAAGGGGTAAAAAGGTTCTCATGAAAAAGTTCTAGTTCCAGATATTTTTGGTGTGAACGCAAAATCCCAGGAACTATCGGAACTATTCCTGGGAAAAGTACTAATGGTGCTCTAGGAGGAGATTCAGGTGATAAGGGGGGGGGGGTTTCCTTGGTTGCTGATTGGCTAATGGTTACTCAAGACAACACATCGTTATGACATCATAAAGTGGCCAAAATCTGATCAGCTCATTTTCAGACAGGTTTTTATAGAAAGAGAGAGAATCTTTGTTCCTGAAACTTTCAGAGTCTCTTTCCACAGAGGGGACACATGTTGATGTAGAAGAGACATGAAGAAGAGGGGACACATGTTGATGTAGAAGAGACATGAAGAAGAGGGGACACATGTTGATGTAGAAGAGACATGAAGAAGAGGGGAGATGTAGAAGAGACATGAAGAAGAGGGGACACATGTTGATTGTAGAAGAGACATGGAAGAAGAGGGGACACATGTTGATGTAGAAGAGACATGAAGAAGAGGAGGACACATGTTGATGTAGAAGAGACATGAAGAAGAGGGGGACACATGTTGATGTAGAAGAGACATGGAGAAGAGGGGACACATGTTGATGTAGAAGAGACATGAAGAAGAGGGGACACATGTTGATGTAGAAGAGACATGAAGAAGAGGGGACACATGTTGATGTAGAAGAGACATGAAGAAGAGGGGACACATGTTGATGTAGAAGAGACATGGAGAAGAGGGGACACATGTTGATGGTAGAAGAAGACATGAAGAAGAGAGGACACATGTTGATGTAGAAGGAGACATTGAAGAAGAGGACACATGTTGATGTAGAAGAGACATGAAGAAGAGGGGACACATGTTGATGTAGAAGAGACATGAAGAAGAGGGGACACATGTTGATGTAGAAGAGACATGAAGAAGAGGGGGACACATGTTGATGTAGAAGAGGACATGAAGAAGAGGGGACACATGTTGATGTAGAAGAGACATGAAGAAGAGGGGACACATGTTGATGTAGAAGAGACATGAAGAAGAGGGGACACATGTTGATGTAGAAGAGACATGAAGAAGAGGGGACACATGTGTGATGTAGAAGAGACATGAAGAAGAGAGGGACACATGTTGATGTAAGAGACATGAGAAGAGGGACACATGTTGATAGAAGAGACTGAGAAGAGGGACACATGTTGATGTAGAAGAGACATGAAGAAGAGGGGACACATGTTGATGTAGAAGAGACATGGAGAATAGGGGACACATGTTGATGTAGAAGAGACATGAAGAAGAGGGGACACATGTTGATGTAGAAGAGACATGAAGAAGAGGGGACACATGTTGATGTAGTAGAAGAGACATGAAGAAGAGGGGGACACATGTTGATGTAGAAGAGACATTGAAGAAGAGGGACACATGTTGATGTAGAAGAGACATGAAGAAGAGGAGGACACCATGTTGATGTAGAAGAGACATGAAGAAGAGGGGACACATGTTGATGTAGAAGAGACATGAAGAAGAGGGGACACATGTTGATGTAGAAGAGACATGCAAGAAGAGGGGACACATGTTGATTGTAGAAGAGACATGAAGAAGAGGGACACATGTTGATGTAGAAGAGACATGAAGAAGAAGGAGGGACACATGTTGATGTAGAAGAGACATGAAGAAGAGAGGGACACATGTTGATGTAGAAGAGACATTGAAGAAGAGGGGACACATGTTGATGTAGAAGAGACATGAGAGAAGAGGGGACACATGTTGATGTAGAAGAGACATGAAGAAGAGGGGACACATGTTGATGTAGAAGGAGACATGAAGAAGAAGAGGGGACACATGTTGATGTAGAAGAGACATGAAGAAGAGGGGACACATGTTGATGTAGAAGAGACATGAAGAAGAGGGGACACATGTTGATGTAGAAGAGACATGAAGAAGAGGGGACACATGTTGATGTAAGAGGAGACATGATGAGAAGAGGGGACACATGTTGATGTAGAAGAGACATGAAGAAGAGGGGACACATGTTGATGTAGAAGAGACATGAAGAAGAGGGGACACATGTTGATGTAGAAGAGACATGAAGAAGAGGGGACACATGTTGATGTAGAAGAGACATGAAGAAGAGGGGACACATGTTGATGTAGAAGAGACATGAAGAAGAGGGGGACACATGTTGATGTAGAAGAGACATGAAGAAGAGGGGACACATGTTGATGTAGAAGAGACATTGAATGAAGAAGAGGGACAGGGACACATGTTGATGTAGAAGAGACATGAAGAAGAGGAGGACACATGTTGATGTAGAATGAGACATGAAGAAGAGGGGACACATGTTGATGTAGATGAGACATGAAGAAGAGAGGGACACATGTTGATGTAGAAGAGACATGAAGAAGAGGGGACACATGTTGATGTAGAAGAGACATGAAGAAGAGGGGACACATGTTGATGTAGAAGAGACATGAAGAAGAGGGGACACATGTTGATGTAGAAGAGACATGAAGAAGAGGGGACACATGTTGATGTAGAAGAGACATGAAAGAAGAGGGGACAACATGTTGATGTAGAAGAGACATGAAGAAGAGGGGACACATGTTGATGTAGAAGAACATGAAGAAGAGGGGACACATGTTGATGTAGAAGAGACATGAAAGAAGAGGGGACACATGTTGATGTAGAAGAGACATGAAGAAGAGGGGACACATGTTGATGTAGAAGAGACATGAAGAAGAGAGGGACACATGTTGATGTAGAAGAGACATGAAGAAGAGAGGGACACATGTTGATGTAGAAGAGACATGAGAAGAGGGACACATGTTGATGTAGAAGAGACATGAAGAAGAGGGGGACACATGTTGATGTAGAAGAGACATGAAAGAAGAGGGGACACATGTTGATGTAGAAGAGGACATGAAGAAGAGGGGACACATGTTGATGTAGAAGAGACGTGAAGAAGAGGGGACACATGTTGATGTAGAAGAGACATGAAGAAGAGGGGACACATGTTGATGTAGAAGAGACATGAAGAAGAGGGGACACATGTTGATGTAGAAGAGACATGAAGAAGAGGGGACACATGTTGATGTAGAAGAGACATGAAGAAGAGGGGACACATGTTGAGGTAGAAGAGACATGAAGAAGAGGGGGACACATGTTGATGTAGAAGAGACCTGAAGAAGAGGGACACATGTTGATGTAGAAGAGACATGAAGAAGAGGGGACACATGTTGATGTAGAAGAGACATGAAGAAGAGGGGACACATGTTGATGTAGAAGAGACATGAAGAAGAGGGGACACATGTTGATGTAGAAGAGACATGAAGAAGAGGGGACACATGTTGATGTAGAAGAGACATGAGAAGAGTGGACACATGTTGATGTAGAAGAGACATGAAGAAGAGGGGACACATGTTGATGTAGAAGAGAGAGACGTGATAGAAGATGGGGGGACACATGTTGATGTAGAAGAGACGTGAAGAAGAGGGGACACATGTTGATGTAGAAGAGACATGAAGAAGAGGGGACACATGTTGATGTAGAAGAGACATGAAGAAGAGGGGACACATGTGATGTAGAAGAGACATGAGAAGAGGGGACACATGTTGATGTAGAAGAGACATGAAGAAGAGGGGACACATGTTGATGTAGGAAGAGGAACATGAAGAGAGGACACATGTTGATGTAGAAGAGACAGTGAAGACAGAGAGACACATGTTGATGTAGAAGAGACATGAAGAAGAGGGGACACATGTTGAGTAGAAGAGACATGAAGAAGAGGGGACACATGTTGATGTAGAAGAGACATGAAGAAGAGGGGAACATGTTTGATTGTAGAAGAGACATGAAGAAGAGGGGACACATGTTGATGTAGAAGAGACATGAAGAAGAGGACACATGTTGATGTAGAAGAGACAGAAGAAGAGGGGACACATGTTGATGTAGAGAGACATGAAGAAGAGGGGACACATGTTGATGTAGAGAGACATGAAGAAGAGGGGACACATGGTTGCATGTAGAAGAAGAGGACATTGAAGAAGAGGGGACACATGTTGATGTAGAAGAGACATGAAGAAGAGGGGACACATGTTGATGTAGAAGAGACACGAAGAAGAGGGGACACATGTTGATGTAGAAGAGACACGAAGAAGAGGGACACATGTTGATGTAGAAGAGACATGAAGAAGAGGGGACACATGTTGATGTAGAAGAGACATGAAGAAGAGGGGACACATGTTGATGTAGAAGAGACATGGAGAAAGGGGACACATGTTGATGTAGAAGAGACATGAAGAAAGAGGACACATGTTGATGTAAAGAGACATGAAGAAGAGGGGACACATGTTGATGTAGAAGAATCATGAAAAGAGAGGGGACACATGTTGATGTAGAAGAGACATGAAGAGAGAGGACACATGTTGATGTAGAAGAGACATGAAGAAGAGACACATGTTGATGTAGAAGAGACATGAAGAGAGGGGACACATGTTGATGTAGAAGAGACATGAAGAAGAGGGGACACATGTTGATGTAGAAGAGACATGAAGAAGAGGGACACATTGTTGATGTAGAAGAGACATGAAGAAGAGGGGACACATGTTGATGTGAAGAGACGTGAGAAGAGGGGACACATGTTTGATGTAGAAGAGACATGAAGAAGAGGGGACACATGTTTGATGTAGAAGAGACATGAAGAAGAGGGGACACATGTTGATGTAGAAGAGACATGAAAAGAGGGGACACATGTTGATGTAGAAGAGACATGAAGAAGAGGGACACATGTTGATGTAGAAGAGACATGAAGAAGAGGGGACCATGTTGATGTAGAAGAGACATGAAGAAGAGGGACACATGTTGATGTAGAAGAGACATGAAGAAGAGGGGACACATGTTGATGTAGAAGAGACATGAAGAAGAGGGGACACATGTTGATCTAGAAGAGACATGAAGAAGAGGGGACACATGTTGATGTAGAAGAGACATGGAGAAGAGGATTTTGCACAATAGGTGACCTTTAGAAAATGTAGATTTTGTTGTCGTACCTTGATGTTGTGTCTGGCTTCCAGTTTGATGGCCTTTCGTTTCGACACATGGCAGTCGACCACATCGAGAGCGAGGGATTTCCTCACTTTCTTCATAGGAGCCCGATGCTGGAAGGAAACAAACAAACATCTGTGTTAATAACTTCAACAATAAGTAAAAGAACGATATCAGATGAAAATAGACGTGATAACAAAAAGGTCCAGGCAACAATATAAGGATGCTAGTGCAACAGATACGATTTGTTACGATATGATTTTTACCTTGTGCGACTCATTCTGACACTGCTATAAACCGAGTGGACTTCGGGTCGTACTGTTGGAATACGTTTCTCAAATGTTCTCACATCCCCCTGGCTCTATCTGATCTAGTAGAATTATGCATAAATGCTTTGGTACACGGGTTAAAGTAGGTGTTAAGTATTCAAGCTGATTTAGCTACCATTGTTTTGCGTCTTTGCTCAGGAGGAGTGGATCTCGAGGACGCGAAGTCGATCCCAGCGTCTCTCAGGATCACTTCGTTTATGTCGTCTTCCAGGTTGGGAGTCTGAGGCTGAGATGGCAGAAAGACAGTTAATAATAAACCCATAAAAGGTGAACTGGATGTTTATTCCCTCTCGGTCACAGATACTCACCAGAGGCTGCAGAGGCCCGTATTTCTCCATGGCGTTTTTGAACGGCGTCGGAGTTCGTGGGGTCGTATACAGATCCAGCTTGTGGTTGGGTGTCACAAATCTACAGGGAAACAAGATATCAACACAGCATACATTTCAATATACACAAAATAACAGTCACTTCAATTTCTTTGAGTATTAGTGCAAGACTATGGACAGTCTTGCACTAATGTACATTTCTCAAAGTTATTGAAGTGACTGTTATTTTTGTATATATTGATTGTTGTGCTTTTATTTACGTCTGAATGTGTGCATATGTATAAATGTGTCTGTTGATTGTGTATATATAGGATATACAGATTTTTTATATATATTTGTTTTTATATTCGGGATTGAGGGAAACGGTATTTCGATCTCTCAACACACAAACTGAAAGATTGACAATAAAGTTAACTTTGATTTTCCACATATAATGACTAAAGGCTAAAATATCTTTAACTAAAAGCTGTCTGTACCCATTCAATGGCTTAGGCTGTGCTTACTGTACATGACGACAGTACAAATACAAAAGGTATATTTTGATAAGATTCAACTCATTGATATGAGCTGAAAAGAAAACTTTGATAATATTCCATCTGGACCATATTCCCCATGGTTTTGTGTCTAATGGCGCATGTCCACCATGGCGCGGAGCGCGGGTTAAGCGTGCCGTGTTGGGCCCGTTTTTGGGTGCGTTTCCACTAGGCCTAGTTCCGGCCCGGGGCTACTTTTTCACCTTTTTTTCTGGCCCGAGAAAATCGTGGTTCTATCGAGGCTAACAAGCGGCCCAACAGTCGGGCTGAGTATGCTAAACTAGAGAGAGAATCGCTGGCAAGGGGGCTACAACTACAACAAGATGAACATATTTGACCGTGATTTAATTGTAATACACGTTTCAAAATGATGCTGAAGTAACAACATACTGATACCGGTTAGTAAAAACCATGAATTAATGCTTTGACAAGTCTGCAGACAGACGGCAGGCGAGAAACCCTTTTAAAATGCATGTTTTCTGAATGGAGATCGGCTAAGCTAACGTTATATATGCTCCGACCGTCCACACTCACAACAACGGCCTACAGACATAAATAAACCAGCGACTGTATTCTCCATGACACAGGCAGTCTGTGGTTTGTACTTGTTTAACTTTTGTCTAGGGAGGCGTGTGGTGCAGTGGGTTGTCCGTTGGTGTTGGGATCAGGGGGTCACAGGTTCAAACCCCACTGCAGTCAGCATGTCGTTGTGTCCCTGAGACACTTCACCCCAAATTGCTCCTGTGGGGATTGCCCACAGTATTGAGTAAGTTGGATAAAAGCGTCTAACAAGTGACATGAAATAAAACAAAAAAATGAAAATGTCTAGTTTCTGAACAGATATGAGGAGCTGTGAGCTCTGAGGGCTAACTGCTGATGTTGGTTTTGTGTTTCGCATTGAAGATGACGCCACGGCTCTGCCTACACTGCGTTACTATAGTTACTGCCCCAGCTACTAAACTGTAATGGAGACGCAGCATAAAGTGAGCCTGGTCTAACAAGGCCTAGCCATACCGAGCGAGGCCGTGTAGTGGAAATGCGCCATAAGTACGGCAAAGGACTTGGTGTGAAAGTGGCTATTGGAGGTGTAGAATTCTCGGATAGAACTATATTGCAGCCTGTGTGTGTAATATGTGTAAACACAACAGAGTGGAGAAAGACATTTCAGCTCTCTTGTTTAATACTGGACCAATTGCATGGGAAAATAGGGTCCAGCTTAAAATAAATAAATAAGATTTCATTTCAAACCTTTATTTATACAGATAAATCCCATTGAGATCATTGATCTCTTTTTCAAGGGAGACCTGCTCAAATACAAAAGATTTTGTATTTGTAAGAAATAAGATTTCTCTTGAACTAAACCATGTATTTTGCCTGAAACTGCAGCTATTGTAACCCCTTGCTGGTTAGAGAGCACTCACACTGAGTTCTCCTTCTGGGTGAGGGGGGTCTTGTCTCTCTGCAGAGGGGTGGAGACGAGGGGTCTCTGGCTGCACACGGGCGTGGATGTGAGCGACGGATTCTCCAGGTCGTGAGTGTCCTGCTTGGTCCACATGTTGAGGAACTGGAACAACACGGGATAGCGATTAACGGACCGGCTCATGTGCGTGGAGGGAACTCTAATTCCCTTAAGAGAAACTGATAAATTATTCATGGCCAACTTTTGTTATATTTAATAAAGTAATAAAGAAAGTCTACATACAATTGAAATCGATCTGAAATGCAGGAACAGAGCAACTTCGTCCTCAAAAGATCAAAATGCTTACAGTCACATTATAGAGTAGAGAAAACATCCAACTGGTCCCACTCATCAATTCTCTAACATGTTTCTGTTAAACACATATAGGACTAAAAATACCATTTAAACGAATAAAAGGTCAATCAGAGTATAAAAAATATGGCGCCGTGTCTTTTGCTCCGACTTGTTTGCAACTCACAAATTATGTATCACTTGTTTATAGACTCTCATTTGGTCTACCTATGTTGCAAATGTATTATCTTTTCAATTTACACACAGCATCTATTGCACGTCTGTCCGTCCTGGGAGAGGGATCCCTCCTCTGTTGCTCTCCCTGAGGTTTCTCCCATGCTCCCTTTAAACTGTGGGTTTTCTCTGGAAGTGTTTCCTTGTACGATGTGAGGGTCTAAGGACAGAGGGTCTAAGGACAGAGGGTCTGAGGACAGAGGGTCTGAGGACAGAGGGCTCTCTGTCCTCTGACGGCAGTGTGTGTGTCCTCTGACGGCAGAGGGTCTAAGGACAGAGGGTCTGAGGACAGAGGGTCTGAGGACAGAGGGTCTGAGGACAGAGGGCTCTCTGTCCTCTGACGGCAGTGTGTGTGTCCTCTGACGGCAGAGGGTCTAAGGACAGAGGGTCTGAGGACAGAGGGTCTAAGGACAGAGGGTCTGAGGACAGAGGGTCTAAGGGCAGAGGGTCTGAGGGCAGAGGGTCTGAGGACAGAGGGTCTGAGGACAGAGGGTCTAATGACAGAGGGTCTGAGGACAGAGGGTCTGAGGACAGAGGGTCTGAGGACAGAGGGTCTAAGGACAGAGGGTCTGAGGACAGAGGGTCTGAGGACAGAGGGTTTAATGACAGAGGGTCTGAGAACAGAGGGTCTAAGGGCAGAGGGTCTGAGGACAGAGGGTCTAAGGACAGAAGGTCTGAGAACAGAGGGTCTAAGGGCAGAGGGTCTGAGGGCAGAGGGTCTGAGGACAGAGGGTCTGAGGACAGAGGGTCTGAGGACAGAGGGTCTAAGGACAGAGGGTCTGAGGACAGAGGGTCTGAGGGTCTAATGACAGAGGGTCTGAGGACAGAGGGTCTGAGGACAGAGGGTCTAATGACAGAGGGTCTGAGAACAGAGGGTCTAAGGGCAGAGGGTCTGAGGACAGAGGGTCTAAGGGCAGAGGGTCTGAGGACAGAGGGTCTGAGGACAGAGGGGTCTGAGGACAGAGGGTCTGAGGACAGAGGGTCTGAGGACAGAGGGTCTGAGGACAGAGGGTCTAAGGACAGAGGGTCTGAGGACAGAGGGTCTAATGACAGAGGGTCTGAGGACAGAGGGTCTGAGGACAGAGGGTCTAAGGACAGAGGGTCTAATGACAGAGGGTCTGAGAACAGAGGGTCTAAGGGCAGAGGGTCTGAGGACAGAGGGTCTGAGAACAGAGGGTCTGAGGGCAGAGGGTCTGAGGACA